GTTGGAAAACTTTCCCCAGAAACAGTCACTTTAGAATGGAAGAAGGCCAAATGATGATTTGGTCTACTTGCTTCAAAATATTAAAGATAATGCTTGGAGGGGCGGGGGGAGGCAGAATTTAAAAGCAAACTTAAAGTAGTTGTAGAATTGTGCATTCTAAAAAGACATAAAGCATAGTGATTAAGTGTGGGTTCTGGAGCCAGATGACCCTAGTTCAAATCCTGAATCCAACACTTACCTACTGAATAACTTTGGGCAAATAACTTAATCTCTCAGTTTCCTTGTTTTAAAAATGGGCATATGTCAAATCATTTACCTCATAGAGTTGTTGTGAGTATTTAATAATTTAGTAGCATGTAAAGCTCTTGGGAAAATGCCTAACCCATACTGTGTGCTCAGTAAATGTAACTATGATTATTGCATTGGGAAAATTAGTCCTGAACTATGTGAATTTCAGATTGGAATACATCCCTGCTATAAAACGTGACCATCCTGAAAGACATTCATCCTCCATCATCATTTCAGAGGATACTCAGGATGCTGCCAAGCTCTCTGAAACCATGTAGTGAGAAGTGTAGATAAAATTGGGGGTGAGGGGAAATATTTTTTCCTTTGTAAATGTAATAATGCTTATTAATGAAAGTTTGGGAAGTTTAGAAAAGTGTGGATATAACAAAAAAATGCTCATAATTTGGGGCCGGCCCGTGGCTCACTCGGTAGAGTGCGGTGCTGATAACACCAAGGCTGCGGGTTCGGATCCCATATAGGGATGGCCGGTTTGCTCACTGGCTGAGCATGGTGCTGACAACACCAAGCCAAGGGTTGAGATCCCCTTACCGGTCATCTTTAAAAAAAAAAAAAAAAAAATGCTCATAATTCTATTACTACCCCAGTGCTAACCATATTAGCATTTTAGTTAAGCTTCGTTTAGCCTTTTTTCCCCGTGTATTAATTTTTTTATGTACAAATATGTTGTGATTATAACACATTACAGAACTGCAGTCTTTAGCCTAGGGAATTGTAGCAGTCCAGATGAGGGATGTTGGGGGTCCGTTAGGTCAGTGGTTATAGAGATGAACCACAAGGACAGGAGACAATGGTATGTCTGAGGTGGATCAGCAAGCTTTGGTATGGTGGTTTCAAAGGTAGTTTTTTAAGCTCTGACTCCTGAAAGGAGGCAGATGGAACATAGGAGGACAAGCATATTTGCTGGAGAAGATGTTTGGTTTTGGACATGTTAAATTTGAAATTTGAATAGGACATCCAAATGGAAATATAAAATAGGCAGTTGAGGTACATAGCCAGGACTTGAGAGAGTGATCTAAGGGGATTCTACCTGGGGTGTGGATGAGAGCACCCAATGAAGAGTGTTGAGAGTAATCAAATATGGTGCCTAATTGGGCTAATTTTCTACCTATATATCTGACCTCTCAGTATACATAGCTCTTTAAGGGAGGAATAGTCTCCCCATCCCCAGTACCTAGCACAGTACTGCTACATAGTAGATGTTTGTGGAATAAATGAGTTTGAATCAAAGGGAAGAGGCCATTAATTTGGTCTTTGTAGAATGCCACTGAACTTGAGGAGGTCGTAGTTATCATTTATTGCCCCTTTTTTCTTTCAGAATTGTTGGTGTCTTCTAAAATTTAAATTCCTAAAGAGAATAAGAGACCTCTGTTTTCCTTTATTGTTGTGATGGAATTTTGTTTACCTGGGGCACTTAAAATGTTATTTGGATGGCTGTAGTTCATTCAGCCTAATCTTGGGTTTTAAAAAAAGATGGTAGTGAAGATTGTTCCAGTGATTCTTCAAAGGCCCAGGGTATGCTTATAGGGGGCATGTTAAAAGAGACTTCACTATTTAATTTCTGCTGACACATGAGGGAGTAAAGATTTAGAAATATAAAGAAGTGTAAATCAGTATAGGGCAAACCGTAAACTTAAATTCCATCGGGTATTGAATCTTTGAAATTGTGTAACTTGTGGAAGTCTTAATGGAATGTCAGTGTAAGAAGATACTAAGTTGGTGGCAGGAGCATTCAGAGTGGGCAGGTCGATTATGGAAAGACCAACCCCATCTGTATGCACTCTGCCCTTCTCTTTGCATACTTTACTTAGTAGTTGATTAATTTGCATGCATTGTTTCCACTATCATTTTGTGTTGATTCATTCTGAAAGCCCATGAAGATGTCTTTTCCGCCAGTACCTTGCACTGTATGTATAAAAGGCCATCAATAAATATTTGTCAGGGGCCGGCCGGTGGCGCACTGCTACAGTGCGCCGCTTGAGAGCGTGGCAGCGCTCCCGCCGAGAGTTCGGATCCCACATACAGACCGGCCACTCACTGGCTGAGCGAGGTACGGGCGCAACACCGAGGGTTGCGATCCCGTTGCCGGTCATGAAAAAAGACAAAAAAAGGAAAATAAATAAATAAATAAATATTTGTCAAATGAATGAAATGGTGAATGTATTCAGCAAACATTTAGAGAGACTTGAGAATGTTCTGTGGGATGTAAGTGGGTGGAGGAGTGGTAGGCCTATAAGGATTGATAAGACATGATATCTTGACTTCAAGGAACATAAGATCTGGTACCAAATATACATTTTTGTTTTTATTTTTTTAATTTTAATTTTTAAAAATCTTTTTAAAATTTACATTTCTTTGATAGCCAAGACTTGGAAGATAGTTTCAAATTTTGTTTGCAATTTGTATTTATTCTTTTTGGATTGTACATTAATATCCTGTGCTCATTTTTTCTTTTTGGTTTTGGTCTTTTTCAGATTTATTTATTTTTGTGGCTGGTCACAGGGATTGAACCCTGGACCTTGGTGTTATTAGCACCATGCTCTACCCGGCTTAGCTAACTGGCCATCCCAAATACACGTTTTTAAAGTTCACTCATTGTTAGAGTAGCCAATGCAGACAATAAGTAATTGGCTGACCTGAACCAGAATTTCTTTGTAACATAGATTTTAATAAATTTCTTGAAGGCGATTAGGTGAAATCTTATTTATATAAAAGATAAGCACATATGAGAGCACTTCAAAAAGTTTGTTGAAAAAATAGATTTGAAAGATAACACAAATCTTTCCCTGAACTTTTTTTTTTTATGGTGATTGGTCAGTATGGGATCTGAACCCTTGACCTTGGTGCTACAACACCGTGCTCTGAACCAACTGAGCAACCAGCCAGCCTTCCAAGAACTTTTTGAAGACTTCTTGTAATCTGCATTTCTTCTCTCTAATCATGTAGCTGAGAAACAGGATTGTTTTAGGGTCAGTTTTATGATCCTCAGTTATTTAGTTTTTTTCGTTTGTTAAAAGTTGGGGTTTGATTAAATGGCAACATGTTGCTCTTCTGAAAATACAGAAACCCACTTACCTAAAGGGACTGTGACCAAGTAGTAAGATACTTAATTGAATGGGTGTACTAAAGTAGCTTAACTGGCTCTGATGATTCTGGTATGCAAAGATCAGATAATCCAATGAGTTAGTTAAGAGAGCCTTATGGTATAATGGTTTATCATGTGTTTCCTTGTAAGTTTTTTTTTTTTTTAAAGTAATCATGACAGTGCTAATAGTCAATTCTCAATTATCAGAACTGATATAGGGAGCATTAGTGTAGAAACTAAAGATGCAGAAAATTCAGTGGAATGCTATTTGTAGTTCTTTAGGCTTGAAAATCAAGGAAAGACAGGAAGTTAGGAATCTTTGAAGACATTTTTCTGGAGTAATGAATTCAGATCAGATGTAATTCACTCAATATAAAACTACTCTCTGAAAATAAGATTTGCCTATAGAAGTAGCCCTAATCAAGGCTACTATAAGGAACTCCCTAGCCTAGTCAGAATGTGTATTCTAGGGGGAAAAATGGTTGTATCCTGCCTGTGTTAGGCTATAACACATAATTCAAGTCTTAACCTAACCAGATGTATCAGTTGAGCATAGGCAAAACCTAATCACTTATCAGAAGAAAGAAATATATTAACAGGAGAGAGAACAATTCCATGAAAACTTCCAGAGCCCCAAACAAAAATCTGGCACTGGTTTTTCAGCACCGTCCAGGGAGAACATAAGCCAGCTGTCCACCATTATTTAAACAAATTCTTAGTGTTAGAATATATTATTTATTAGACTTTATCATGATTCCATTTTCTTTTGATTTAGATTCCATACTCAACAGATAACTTCTCAGATACCACAATGGGGGGAATTGGCCACTCTGGGTGGTAATATGACTATCCACCATTGTAAACAAATAAACTGGCATTTGGCCTATATGATTTTTTTTTTTTTTAAGATGACTGGTAAGGGGATCTTAACTCTTGATTTGGTGTTGTCAGCACCACGCTCTCCCAAGTGAGCTAACCAGCCATCCCTGTATAGGGATCCGAACCCGTGGCCTTGGTGTTATCAGCACCACACTCTACCAAGTGAGCCACAGGCCAGGCCCTATATGATAATTTTTTAAATAAACTTTTTAAAAAGTAAAAATATAACATTAAGTTGGTTAGCATAAATTAATCCCTGAAAGCCTAATCAATTCTATTTGTTCAGGAAAAAAATGGGTTTTATGGAGCTGTATAGCTGAGGGCCATACTCAGGAATGTCTCTTCTTGTAGAAGAAAGGGATCAGTCTTATACTTGGTATATCCAGTACTTGGCACATAATTGGTTCTCAATTTAATGCTGTGTTAATGAAACTCATTATTGAATTTCAGAGATGGTAACTCCAGACCTGCCTAGTGAAAACAACCATAGGTATTTTATGACTCTACTCTTAGATTTATTCGCATGTCAAAAGAGCAGTTCCATTTTTTCTTTAACTCAGCAGAAACAATTCATCAAGTGATTAAAATAGATAGGACAGTGCTAAAAGGCAAATAAAAGGTGTATGCGTCTGTTAGAAAAAAAGGGAGGGATAGTGCATTTGAGAACAAAGACAATCTATTTTATTATTTTTATTTGTAAATTAATTAAATCTTTAATTTTACTTTTTAGACCTTATTGCAATATGCAAGCAACAAGAATGCATCAGAACATATTGTGTATCTTCTGGAGGTATATCGACTTGCCATCCAGAGCTTTGCCAGTGCACGTCCATACTTAACTACTGAATGTGAAGATGTCCTCTTAGTGCTTGGCAGACTAGTACTGTAAGTTTAAGAATTTAAATCATTCTTAAAATTGAGTATCCTTGCTCGTAATGTTTGCCTGACCTCTCTCTAGAATGGCATCACATTTATTCTTCAAAGCACCATTAGAGTAATACCTTTGAATTTCCTTTGTTCTGAGCCCTCCTACTCAGGTCCCAGGAGATACAGTCCAAGTGAAGCGCCAGGCAAGCAACGTTATCTTTAACCGCCTCTAGAGTCTTTTTTTCCTACTTAGGCTTGGCATCCGAGAATGGCACATTTTCTCTCTGTCCCTTAGTTATAGATTAATTCAAGTGACAGAGTATCTGGAAACTATGGTGGTCTTTAAGCAACACTGTATACTTTGGGGAAAACACCATGAAGTTCTGAAATTTGCTTATATTATTTGAACTAAGAATAATTTTACTAGCAGGAAATAATGGGGTAGAGTATAAGATTGCCACCCTTAGAGTCCATGATCGTTTACCTCCTATTTTAATATTTTGCTGCCTAGTAGCAGAAAAAATTACACTTTTAATGTAATTTTCATCTTCTAATTGAAAAAATACAACAGCCATTTCAGCTGGGGATTACCTTGTTCAGCTTACAAACTGTGTAGTGGGATAACTTCTAGTCTAGGTGGTTCATTTTTTAATTTTTCTCTGGCTTCACCTGTTTTTCTTTCCTATCCTCCAAAGCCCAAACCCTTTTAAACACCATGCCTTTATGGAACACAGCACTCCTGGTTTTATAATCTCATTGTTCCTTCTACCAAGTCCCACTTTCTGTGTTGCCTGTACTAATCCCTACGGGGTAAAGGAATATTCTGCAAGATTTTAGAGAAGGGTTGCTTGATTAGTATTTTGAGTTGATCTTTATTCAAGTTGTTATGGATTTCCTTTTCAAAATTCTTCCTGTTATTTCTTCTCTGTGCCTTCTGGGGAATGGTTAAGGTAGAAAGAAGAAACTCTTTTTACTTGCTTGGCTTGTTAGAAGTAAAGAAATGACTTTGCCGATTGTTCTGCTTCCTCTGCAAGTGACGGAAACCTGTATAGATGACAGTTACATGTATTTATCACTTTATCAGCTGAATTCTGTTTTTGTCTTCTGGAATTAGAATTGTTCCTATGTGGGAATTCTGGAATTAGAATTGTTCCTACCCCCACACACCTCCACCCCCCCCCCCCCTTC